GTGACAGAATTGGGAATCCAACCTGGGCCTTTCAAGACAACAAAGCTCTTTCCATTCATTCCTGCCACCTCCCACTTCTCAGCTGTCTGGTCAAACCAAATCACTTCCAAATGCTACTATATTAAAGTCCCCATATTGAACCACCTGGTGTGAGCTCTGATTTCCTGGCTACATCCTACCTGATACAGTGTGTTAAAATATGCTTTTAAATTACATCGTTCCAAACCCTTGTATTAAGTCAGTATAAAACAACATTAAAACTTACATTTTGCTTATATTTAGAGTCAATCAGAACTACTTTACAAACATGGAAAACACTATTATTTTATTATTAGACAATTAATATATATATAGTATTAAAATCAGAAAAAAAGATAACCAAAATAAAAAATTACTGTTTACCTGCAATTCAGACAACCTGAGATAACAGCCCTATTAACAATAGTGTTGTATTTACTTACAACTTGTCATATTAGTACATGTATATTTTGCCAAATGTCAATATTTTAAAATATAACTTGTATCAAATTATATACATTTTTAGGGATCTCTATCGACTTTTATGAATATAAATCTTAAAATTGTCTGTGATCTAAGTTCTCTGTATTTGTAACGCGCATTTTTCACTTGAAATTATACTCCTTTCCACGTCAGTAAGTAAACATCTATAGCAACATTAACTAGTAACACCAAATTCAAATCATCATGTATCATTGTCTGGATAGCCTGTGATTCATCCCCCCAATGCCTGTCTCTGGACATTTCGATGTTTTCCACTGTTATTCACATTTCTGTAATAGACATCCTCATGGATAAATCTTTTTATTCTTGCTACATAATTTCCTTGGATAGATGCACATTTGCTGGAGCAAAAGGAAATGTATTTTTAAGGCTTGTCACACATATGGTAAAATTGCCCTCCAGAAAGTTTGTAGAGATAGTGATTCTTGGATGCTTTGTAAACTTTTCATCGTGCTACTGTCAAAGTGTGTTTGTAAATATCCTGACAACCAATGCTGCCTCATTCAATGCCAGTGATTACCAGTGACGTATTATAGTTGTAATTAAACAGTGGTTGGCAATGAAAGTGGTTTCCTGAGAATCCATTGAAATGCTGACATAATTTCAGTGCCTGTTGGGTAGATCTTCTCCTGATGAAGTTCTGTGTCAAGTCAAGGACACGATACAGCTTTGCAGCTATACATTGTCCAGAACCAATCCCAGTGTACAAATTCACTCTTTTACAATAGTGTGAATCCCTGGTACATAGGCAACTGTTGTTAGGCAAGACATAGGGGGAAATGTTTGAAATTTGGACAGTGTCATAGTTGCTTCATGAAGGGGGTGAAACTTGAGACGTTCAGGAGAGTGATACATTCACAGTGACATCAAGCAATCATGTCTTTTCAAATTACCTTGCAAGGAAATTTGAGTGTGTTTATTTTGTCTTTGTTCATAAATGTGTTTTAATCACAGTACCTTTTAGGAAAGTTGCTTTGTCTAAAGGAAGGCATTAACTGGGTGCTCAAAAAAAAAAAAGAGAGAGATGGGAAAGAGGCAACCTTGATTTCAAATGTTTGATCTCAACATGGCCAGTCTCATTGCTTTCACTGCTAATGCCCCAGAATAGGGGTCATCGGATCTTAATCCCCAAGAGGGGAAAGAAATAATTCTTGATCTGTTGCTACCGTGGCGCACCCATGTTTCAGAGAGAAATCTTCTGGTTGTAGGGAAAAGAAAAGCCACTTCAAACTGGTTTAAATAATAAATTTTGTGAGAAGTCCAGGTTCTAGTGGTGCTTGATCAACAAGGTACCGTGGCACAAGCTTTCCTTGGATTCTCCTCTCTGCCTTCCCCTACATCTTCATCTGGCAGCTGACTCCCTCATGGGCACAAAATGGCTGCCAGCAACCCCACAGATGTCTGCTTCTCTGTTCATAGTTAACAAGGAAAAGGAGCATCTCTGCTTGAGGTTTCTTAGATCTAGGAATCATGCTTCCTAGAAGCCCCTGGCAAATGCCTGCTGGTATCTCATTAGCCCCATCTGGGTCACATGGCCACCCCTCAACCAGTCACTGTGATGGGGGTGGGCTCTGTGGTATGGCTTCAGCCATTCATCCCACCCCTGTTGCTGGTACCAGGAGTGTCTCCCAAGGTTCAAGCGCTCCGTGGAGGGGCAGAAAGTCTAACCAGGGAACTGGGATGAGGAGGGAGGGTGAAGGGATACTGAGGGTGTCAGAAAAGCAAATGTCTACAATGCAGAAGTTTTTAAAGGTACTCCTGGAGATCCTCACAAGCCTCCCTGGAGACAGCTCTCCTCCCACTTCACCATCCCTCAGGGTGAAAACTGATAGGTTTGCCATCAATTTTTAGTCAAGGGATTGAAACGCCTTGGTGTATTGGGATAAACTTGATATGTTACCTATAAGCCATTCCTAGTAATAGCTAAAGAGATAAAGTTTATAAATGATTTTATTGTTTCCTGTCTAGCTGAACTTATTCAAGGCTATCCCAGATACTTTTTTTGTAGCCTATGTACCTTATTTATTGGACAAGAAGGGGCACTCCAGGGTACTACCATAGACTCTCCACCTCTGATCTGAGGTCTGGCCTGGGACACATCCTGGGTGACCCAGGAGAAAAATGGCCGAGAATCAAGCAGGCCAGTAGCAGTCCCTTCCCTCCACTCCAGACACATCCTCCATCCTCACCACCCCACCACAAACATCATTCAGTTTTGATACAACTATACTCCCCGCCTTCCACATTCCACTGGAAAGGCCCAGAGCAGCAGGTACCACAGCCCAATTTCATCTTCAGAGAAAGCGGGTGATGATGGCTGCTGAGAGAACCCCAGGCCTCCTCCCACATGTCCATATTATTAGGATTTCTGTTAGCCGACCCATCCTCAGTCTGCCTGAGGAAAACACTCTCAAATCAGTTCCACAAATTAGCCATGGTCAAATTTCACTTGGCCATTTTTTGGGTAATATTTTCTCTTTGTTTGTTACATAACTGATTAATATTTATTGCACAGTAATAAGAAAGTCACATAAGCTAAGAAGAAAATTCTAAAAGACACGTGCACCCCAATGTTCCTAGTAGCACTATTTACAATAGCCAAGACATGGAAGCAACTTAAATGTCCATCGACAGATAATTGGATAAAGAAGTTGTAGTATATATATATATACTGAATTCCATATATATATAATGGAATACTACTCAGCCATAAAAAAGAATGAAATAATACCATTAGCAGCAACAAGGATGGACCTAGAGATTATCATACTAAGTGAAGTAAGTCAGAGAGAGAAAAGACAAATATCATATGATATCACTTGTATCTGGAGTCTAAAAAAATGATACAAATGAACTTATTCACAAAACAGAAACAGACTCACAGACATAGAAAACAAACTTATGGTTACCAACGGGGACAAAGGTAGGGGGCGAAGGACAAATTAGGAGTTTGAGATTAGCAGATACACACTATGATATATAAAACAGATAAACAACAAGGTCTTACGTATAGCACAGGGAACTGTATTCAATACCTTGTAATAACCTATAATGAAAAATAATATATATGCGTTTAACTGAGTCACAATACCGTACACCAGAAGCTAACATGACATTGTAAATCAGCTCTACTTCGGTCAATCAATCAATTTAAAAAATCCGCCGTAATCGCACCTCCAGAGAGAATCACTGCGTTTGGGGGTAAGGGTACAGCTTTTCATATTTTTTGATATGTGTACATCCAAACAGATCATGTCTCAAAACACAGAGACAGAATCCTGTGATAAATATTCCTTTGTAATGTATCTGCTCACTCAAACAATTCCTCAGGCATCTCTATCCTTATATCATTCTATTGTCATTATATTTAATCACTGCATAGTAGTCCATCATTTAGATGCACCATGATTATTTAACCTGTCCTCTGTTTGAAGATGCGTAGTCATCCGAGATTTCCAAGATTCTGCTCTCACAAGCAGCATCTTAGTGAGCAGTTTTGTTGATGAGCCTCTGTGCCCACTCAGGGATATTCCCATAGGATGCTTGACAGCAGAAGCATCGTTAGACCCAAGGGCATGCCCACTTTTACAGCATCTAGTAAGCGCTGACAAATTGCCCTTCAGAAAAGTCATTACAGTGCCTTCCCCCCAACCAGCTTCACCTGAAAGCATCCATTTTCCCATAATTTCTTGGCATTTCCTTTAATTAAAAAGAAAAAAACCTAATATTGCAGGAATTAATTTCAAGACAGGATAATCCAGATAAAAGTCTTGTTATTGTTCACCAAACTGATGGCTGAGAAAGGTGATTTTATATTAAAATATAATTAATGGAACTCACTTCTTTAGATGGACCTGGTAACCAGCTCTGAGTAATGAATTTAAGTCTTGTGAGGTTTCCCTGATGGCTCAAAAGAGAAATGAATACAGGAAAAAGAATGAAAAACCCATGAACAGTTACCTGGATAATTCACTCGTGAAATCCTGCTGGGGGGCAAAAAGGGGGGGAAAAACAGTGCCTTTGTATCTTTATATTGATGCAGTTTGGCTCTGCAAACCAGCAGCCTGTGTCACCTGCAACCATGATAATCAACATTTAATTTTTTGCTTTACTTTGAGTGTAATGCTAATAATAGAAGCTTCCATTTTTCAAATGCATGCCAAGTCAGGAATTTGGCGATTAATCTAATCATCACAACATGGTGGGAATTGTTCCCCATTCTCCTGAAGCAACCTAGGGCCCAGAGAGGTTAAGTAATTTGTCCAAGGTCACACAGACAGAACCAGGATCAGAGCTCAGGCCTGCCCGTCTCCAAAGCCCTGGCTGTTTCCACCGTGCCAGAAAAAGATGCTGTGCTGCCCAGGGACTCCCCCAGCCTGCTCAGACGTCTCAGATGAACACATGAGCCTCCCGCAGCCTGGCTCTGCTTGTAATTCTTGTACTAACACTTTTCCCTTTGACTTCTTGACTCCCCTCAGGTCCCAGACAAGCCAATGAGGAGCATCAGGTACATGGACAAGGAGATAATAAACCTCAAGAAAGACCTCATACGAAGCCGGTGAGTGAGCCCAGCCCTGAATGACGCACAGGCAAGCTGACAGAGATAAGCAGGCTATTGGAGGATGCCTGTAAGTCTTTGCCAAGTCCCAGTGCCCCCTGCAACCCTAAGCTGTAAGCAGAAGATTTACAGGACAGTAACCCTCTAAGGGCCAGTGGACAGGATCCACTTCTTGGCTGGACTTTACAGGGAGTACCCGTCCCAGACTTAACTCCCCATTCTGGCTCATGCCAGTCCCAGGCCTAGAATTTCCTCTGTTTTCCTTTCTGGGCCTGAATCCAATTCAAGAGAGTTTCCATATGCTCCAGAAAACTCTCCCCTGTTTGCTCCAGGCCCACAGTGTGGTGGCCAAGCGGCAGATAGACGTGGTCGCAGATACCGGCCTCGCTCCTGCCAGCTGGTGGTACTAGAGGAGTTACTTAACCTTCCTGAGCCTCTGTTTCCTGAACTGTAAAATGGAGGTAGCATGAGGTTGCTAGAAAGACTGGGTGAAATAGTGCCTTTAACGCGCCCCCTTGTGTGGCTTTGAACACAACACCATTCTTACCTTTTTCCACCCCTCCAATTCCTTCCTCCATGCGGTGTGAGCACACGGAGGTCTAAGGCCATGTTCTGTTCACTTCTGTGCGGAGAGATGCGATTTTCTCCTCCTCACCCCTTGACTCCTTTTTGGGACCTAGAATATTCCAAGGTGGAGTCATAAACGGGGCTTTTGGCAGAGCAGCTCAAGGCAAAGTAAGAGACAGAGAGACTCTTTTAGCCCCAAACACGCAAAAGATGTGCTAAGAGTGGGTAAACAGAGGCAGCATGGGCGGGTCTGCTTATCTTATGTGTATCCCAGACCCCAGTGAGACTTACAGCCAGACATTTCCTCCCTTCACCTCCACCGTCGGGAAGCTCTCCCTTCACTGCCCACCCTCATCTCGGACAGAACTGGATGACTGAGCTCAAGAAGAGGCAGGAAGGTGTGGACTTGGAAGCTGGGGAGACAGAAAGGGATGGAAGAGATGAAGAGAGGTGCCAAGACAGGGCCCCAGAGAATAATATATATAACCCTCACCCTGTGTCCGCTCTGAGAGGGTGTCTGGACACCCACTGTCCAGCAGAAACATAATATGTGCCGTTCATGTCATTTAAAATTTTTCGGTAGCCACACTGAAAAATGTTTAACAAAAGGAAATAAAGAAACCTACAGAAGTAAGCCCAATAATGTATTTTATTTAGCCAAATATTCCGAAGTATTATCATCAGACACGCAATCGATACAAAAAGGTATTAGTGAGATACTTTATATTCTGTTTTGAATATGTTGATGAAAGTGATGAATAGTGAAAAGTCCAGAGTGTATTTAACACTTAGAGCGTATATCAACTTAGACCAACCACATTTCAAGTGTTTAATTGTTATGGACTGAAGTGTGTCCCCCCCCCCAAATTCGTATGTTGAAGCCTTCACCCCCACTGTGACTGTAATTGGAGAGAGGGTCTTTAAAGAGGTAAGTAAGGTTAAATGAGAAAGGTGGGGCCCTAATCCCATAGGATTGGTGTCTTCATAAAAAGAGGGAAGGATGCCAGGAATGTGCCCGCACAGAGAAAAAGCCAGGCAGGCGCACAGCTAGAAGGTGTTGTCTGCAAGCCAAGGAAAGGGATCTCAGGAGAAGCCAACTGTGCTGACACCTTGATCTTGGACTTCCAGCCTCCAGAACTAGGAGAAAATAAGTATCTGTGGTTTAGACCATCCAGTCTATGGGATTCTGTCCTGACAGCCCCAATAGACTAAAATAACAGTCAACATTGGAGTAATCCTGCAGAGAATGTCCCCAGCTCGAAGAGGGGATGGGGCTCAGTCTCGGAGGTTCAAGCAGAGCTGAGCTCAAGGATGGCCCCTGAACTTGGCCCTCAGAGTCAAGGGATGAGACCCCTCTGTTAGTTGTGGACGTATCGGCCTCTACGGTGTTGGAACCCAGGTTAGAGGGCTTCTGAGGCTGACGCATGGGAACCTGGGAGCCCCAGGGACCGGTAAGAGGTACAGTCAGGAAGCCAAGAGTTATCTGAGTGGGGGCAACATCCAGGCAGGCAGCAAAGAAAGAGGATTGCACCCCTGAGGACGCACCACCCACCTCAGCAAGGATTTGTACTCTGCTCCACAGTCATGCCTGGAGGATATTCCAGGTTTCGGAGAGAATGTTCCAGGCTTCAGAAGGAATGGTGCAGTGGGGAAGTTGCATCAGAGATGAGGGTCAAAGTACAGAGCCATCTGTAGCCGTGGGCATCGGTCTGAACCAACACCGGCCACACGCAATCATTACGACCACGTCAGTTCTTATCAGCTGAATGTTACCAGCCTTGAGGCTGATGATTCTATCCCAGCCTGCAAATACATACCAGAATCTCCAGAACCTAGGAAATGAGAGTTTCCACAATAATCCATACTGTAGACAAAGAGCTGATAACTACAGGTACCAAGAGGCGCCCTGATCTGTGTAACTTCCAGATACCAAGACTCGACCTAGCCCAAGGAGGGTCACTAGTAGTGGTGAGCCAGCATGGAACCAGAACTGATCTGCTGAATTTCCAAGGAATTTGCAAGTCAATTATTAAACGTGGCTATTCTTAAATTGTATAAACTTACGGTTAAATACATTATATTAAAACAAAGGTAATAAATACCATAACCCAACATTCCCTAATACTTTCATACATTTTACTGCTACATGTCCCTTTGAGGTTATTTCTGGGTTGTTTTTTTTAAGAATCTGTGTGGTGGAAATACTTGGGGGCTCCTGCAAATCTCTTCCTGGATCCACATTCGCTGATGTCATATCAGTAGCTCAGAATCAGCCACAGTGGGAATACTTACACACAGAAATCAGCAAATTGTACAAATCAGGGCTTCCTTGTCCCTCCAGAGAGATGGTAGTTAAAATGCTCCCAAGCACCCTCTGGGGACATGCCCCAAAATGACCGAGGTAGAACTTTCCACTAGCCCAGTACAGTAAAGGGGTAATGAAAAGGTGATAAAGACAGTGGCCTTTCTGCCATCCTTGAGTTGCCAGGCTGAGTCTGTCGTTTCTGCCAGACACATTTACCACGGCTGGAATCTAACATCCTCATCAGACAGGCTTGGGCTCGTCAAAGTGCTGGACATGAAAGAGAATGCGGAAAGGGCCAGGCAGGAAGGCCACAAGCAAGGAAACAAGAAACAACAGCACAAACTTTCCCTCTGGCCGCACTCCTGGATCCCACTGACATTTAAGGAATCTGAGAGGGTCCCTTGAGAAGGAAACACCCTGTTTTCCAGGTACAATCACCTCTCCGAGAGATGCAGACCGCTTGGCTCCATTGCCTAGCACTACATGAGGCAAATTATTAGCAAAGAATATATTGTCTTTTCCACTTACTGTTTCTTTTTTTCAAATCTGCTTCCACATCTCTTAGAATCTAGTCCACCTTGAGCCAAAATACCTTGACTATCTCCTAGAGTTTTATTTAATACTTCAGCCCTCTTATAATTCAATTGTACCATCCCTGGCTTCATGGCCAATTTAACTTGATGCTAAAAAGAATAAAAAATCTAACTGCTTTCCTCCTCGCCTGTTCCACCAGATGTTTGGTGACACTAAGCAGTGCACTCTGCACTCACTTGCCGAATTTCTCCTGGTGGAAATTGACAACCAGGGCATCCGCGTGTGCCCCGTTCTTGGTTGACTCTTGAAGCCGATGATGTGTCTTCCTCCAAAGCTGCCAGCAGCTCTTATGGCGAGTGTTTTAAGGAACATAGACATCTCTGCAACTAAAACAACTGAAACGTTGCACCTGAAGCTACAATGTACCCGTGGCACGGTTTCATTAGGTATAGGCGATTGCAAATAAGCAGCAATGAATTAGCCGCCTCCCCCCAGCAAAAACCCCAGCAGGGCACAGACTATGCACGGGTTTCCAAGGTCTGAGACTTTGCTTTCCAGCTACATTGGGTAGACAGTGAAGCATCTCTCCACATCCAGAGCCCGAAGCCCAGAACTTCGTCATTTAGAAGTTTAAGCCTGATCCTTCCCATTGCCTCTGCCCCAGACTTGAGACTTGCCTGAAAGCACCAGAATTGTTTAAGATCGTGGATGTATATGCTGGTCAATACCCTGCACGCAGGCAAAGTTAAGGCTTTTGAATTGTACCTTATAAGTCATTCAAAGAAGACCTTGGTCCTCCCCCAGTGCCCCCCACATTACATCATCCCGACACCCTGCGGCCAGCGAGCGGGTGGACATTAATGAGTCCCCAGCATGTTCCATAAAGGGAAATACTTGGCCCCACGTCCTTAGCCCAGAACTGATAAACACAGCCACACACCTAAAGGGTAGGTCACTGCTGTGGGCTGGAGGAGCCTGGCTCAAGTTAATTGCATTTTTATCATCTTGAATGTGACCCAGAGGCCCTACTCATTTTTCCCTTTGTTGCTGGTGTCTTCGTGTGTCTTTGACACCTCTAGTTAACTCTAGTTCTAGGGCAAGTTTTCTTCTCTGCTTTTCTTGCCCCCCTCTCCACTGAGGGTGGATAGCTTTGTTTAATTCCTTTTCTTGTGGCTAAGGCTGCCCTCAAGGACCCCAGCAAAAAAAAAAAAAAAAAAAAAACCAGAAGCTCATGTTTTCAAAGTTAAGCATCAAAATATCTTGAACCCTTGACTCTTTTGTTACAAAAAGTTCCCACAAAACTTTGTTATCTGAAATTCTTTCCCAGATGACAGGCAGTGTGCTCAGTCTTACAGCCAGGCTTGGAGGGTTCACACAGGAGAGTTGAATGTTCGTGGGCTTTGGGGTCAGTTGTGGGTTCAAATCCTGACCCTACCATTTATTACCTGAGTGGCCATGAACGAATCGATTCACTTCCGTAGACTCGGTTTCTTTACCTATGGTGTGAGATGTCGGGGTAACAAGGTCGGCTTCACCTCGATGTTGGGATTTGTGAGGGCAGATATGGGTGAGGGATGTAGGAATAGATCCATGG